TCAACCCTTCAACTAAATTTTGGGTGCTAAGCCTCCATGTTCTAGAATACTGAGTTCTAATCACCTAGAAAAGAATAAAACTGTCCAGGTAAGGCAACACTTCTGAGGAATCCCAGGAAGAGGTGTCGGCACTGTTTCCTCAGGTGGAAATCGCCTCTGAAACCATGTCCCTGACGGCTCTGGCCCAGAGCATGAGGCACATGCCCGCTACAGACCCTTCCCAGCAACTCCACCCCAGTGTGAGGCAGCTGGATTCCTTAGGCTTCTCTCTTGAAAACAAACCAAAGTCAGTCTTGCTTCTTCTTCAGTGCAGTGATTTCAGATCTTCCTCTACCGTAAGGTAGGCTCCTCAAGCTTCCTCTTACCTAGTCATCAGCAAAGGCACTGGATTTTGGAGAGCACCAGAAATTCCACAGTACCTTTACTTAGCAGTTTAAACTCTAAGGCTTTCATTCTTTGAGAATGAAACAATGGCTCTTGGAGTTAGAAAAGAGAAGCTGAGATTTAGTTAGGCTTTAAGTAAACTAAGTAGAAAAGTACATTAAAATCAAGAAGAGAAGGTCACAAAAATTATAGCACAATACATAGGCATATTAGATCATTTCTCAAACCTTGGAATTCTTAAAATTATTTGAGAAGCCTAATAAAAATCCAGATTCCCTGGTCCCACTCCCAGACATTCTGTATCAAGTACAAGGTGGGTCCTGGAATATGCGTTTTTAATAAGCTTTTTGGGTAATTCTGGTCCAAATAGTGCATACACCCTAGTTTGAGAAAGAGCCTTAGAACTTTTAAGGAGAAAGGCTGATTAATTGGAAGGATTCATCTCAGAGCATTTGAGCAGTATAAAAACAGAGAAGCAATGTGTTGCAGATAAGCACCTAGGGCCCACAATTGATGTGTACATCTGACGTACAGATGATTTAGCAGGAGAATCATATCTTAATATGCATATGGCATGATGGAACTGTTGAAGAGTAAAAGCACCTATGAATCGTACACAGGCATTTCCACTCCACAGTGGTGTGAGAGAAGTCAGCGTAACAGAAATTAAGAACATCAGGTTTACGTCAGGTTTTTTTGTTTTGTAGAGATGACGTCTCACCATGTTGCCCAGGCTGGTATCTTACTCCTTCCTGGCTCAAGTGATCCTTCTGCCTCAGCCTCCCAAAGCGCTGAGATCACAGGTGTGAGACGCTGTGCCCAGCCGTCATCATGTTTTTGTTTTTTAATTGCATTTTAGGTTTTGGCGTCATCATGTTTTTAAAGGGTGAGAAGGTAACAGCTCTGATGCAGTGGAAAGACCTTGGATTCAGAATCCAATCCTGACTCTGCCATTTGTTGGGTGTTAATAGTCACCTTGCTGCTCTAGCTTCCAAACCCTAAATGGAGGCTACAGGCTACCTACCTCAAGGGATGGTTGTCAATAGAGAATGATAACATGCTTTATTTAATAAAGCCCTCTGTAAACTATAACATATCGAACAGAAACCAATACTATTATAGAAAACTGAAGGCTACTTTCTTAAACACTAACTACAAGATTTTTGTAAGCATTCTGCTGAAGAGTTGGTAAGAATGGTAGGTTGTGTCACAAAGCCCAGCAACAAGCCAGAAGGGAGTGGGACACAGCTGATCTGTTTTAGCCAGAGCTTTTCTTTTTTCTTTCTTTCTTTCCTTTTCTTTTCTTTTTTTCTCTTTCTCTCTCTCTCTCTCTCTCTCTTTCTTTCTTTTTTGAAACAGAGTCTTACACTGTTGCCCAGGCTGTAGTGCAGTGGCGCGATCTGAGCTCGCTGCAGTTTCCACCTCCTGGGTTCAAGCAATTTTCCTCTCTTAGCCTCTCCCAAGTAGCTGGGACAAAAGGCATGCACTACCAGCTATTTTTTTTATTTTTTTTATTTTTTTATTTTTAGTAGAGATGGGGTTTCATTATGTTGGCTGGAATGGTCTCGATCTCCTGATCATGTGATCCACCCGCCCTGGCCTCCCAAAGGCCAGAGCTTTCCTTTGTTCATTTACATGGTCTCTTTGAAAGGAAGAAGGTGGAGGGGTTATTTGCTATGTTAGCTCAAGGAAAAGCAGTTGAGCATACGGATCACAATTCTTTTTTTCTTTTCTTGCCTCTGTGTATTGATTCAATATTTTTCAATAATACCCTGATGATGAAGGTGTCACACTAGCTGATGGGTGGATTCTTATATGCCATAAGAGAAAACCATCTGTTCATCTTTCAGTTTCACAATGTACATGCCATCTATGTGACTAGCATTCCATGGGGTAGAGAATTAAAACAACAAGCATTGATGCATGTCCTATAGGGCTTCTTAAAAGGAAATATATCTCATGTGAAAAAAGTAGAGTCTAATCTGAAAAGGTTATATAGGCTACACCCTAGTACATCATGTACAAGTACAGAAAAACAAGGGAGATGAGCATAGAAAGTGGGCAGGGCAGAGAAGGTGGAGTAGGAGTCCAAATTCAATGTAATGAGGTAAAAATGAAGAATTCTTGTCCACTTCAGAAGGGAATATGATGTAAAAAGAAACTGAAAAATCATAGTAGTACGAAAAGAATTTGAACATTACTACAATCATTACTACATTACTACAAGTGAGATATATGTGATTAAAGAGTTATTTCTGAAGTCAATTTCCTTATGCATTAATTATACAGCTCCCAACATTAAAGTAAACAAAGCTGAATATAAAGGAAAATAAATATATTTTTAAGATGCTTCAGGAAATAGAAGAATGAAGTCATATGTGATGTTGTGCAGAAGAAACTGAATTATAGCTAACATAAAACTCCAAGGCAGGAAAAATAGCATTTGGCCAAGAGAAGGGGCTAAGGAACAGGTGACAGATAGCAAGTACTGGCCTGAAGAGCCACAGCAACAGGCTCTTCAAGTTAGCTCTCGAAGACACAAAGCAGAAACGGGGGACACCTCCTGCTCTGAACAAAATCATGTAAGAGGAGTTCTGTGCAAAGAAAAAGGGAATGAGGAGAGAAGAAGGACAGCAGAAACGCTGAAGCCCAATTACAAGGGAAAATAGTCAACTCATCAACAGTGTATATGTGAAAACAAGAGGGTCCAACAGGCCACAGGAATACAATAACATATACTGTACTACATTCTTCAGAAAATGATATGCCTTTTCTTTTTCTTTCCAGCAGGTAAAAAAATATGTTACTGTTAGCAGAAATTGAGTCACTCTGGTTGTAGAGATACAATTTTGAATATGCAAATATAATGAGTATATAACAAATTACTGTAAAACTCAAATGTGATAATATATGTGAAACCGTCTGTTACATGGTTGTCCCTGGCAGGCAGCGTGGTTATGGAGGATGACACCAGGTCCATGTACCTATCATCCACAGAGACACTGAATAGCTTTGCAAGCCAACCAGTTTCAATGACCTACCCAGGAAATCCCGGCAAATGTTGCTAACAACAACTTGACTAATAGAATTGCTTGAGTTGAGTTGTAAAGCATTTTTGATGTACCTGTCTACTGCTTCGGCACATGTGCTCATAAGCCAAGTAGAGCTCACTAAGTGGAAGGGAGGAGGAGAAGCAGAGCCCATGAAGAAAATATCAACTGGTGCATTAGCACCTGGACAATTAACATCTGACTATATTGGCAAAGTGATTGGACACTTTAGAGTGAACAATACTTTGACTTCATGTGCTTAGCACTTAATTACTGAAAGTGCATAATTACCTATTTAAGAATGCAAATGAGTTACTATTAGGAAGAAGTTTTAGGACACTGGAGACTATTGGAAGATAAAATTATGAGTTGTTGGCTAAAATGAAACGGTATATACACAAAAGTTTTGGAGGAAGAAATACTGTAGTCCCCCCTTATCTTAAGTTTTGCTTTCTGTAGTTTCTGTTACACCTGGTTAACCACAGTCCAAAAATATTAAATGGAAAATTCCAGAAAGAAACAATTTCTAATTCTTAAGTTGTACACTGCTCCCAGCAGGATGACAAAATCTCATGCTGTCCCACTCCATCCCATCTGGGACACGAACCCTCTCTTTGTCCAGTGTATCCACACTGTATATGCTACTGGCCCATTGCTAGGACCTAAAATAGGAACAAATCTTTTAGTAAAATTGTGAAGAAAGAAAAAGAAATTTGTGCTGTTGAACCTCAAACTGCAAAAGTTACGGCTACACAGCATGATAAATGCTTAGTAAATATTTAAAAGGCATTACATTTGCGGGTGGAAGACATAAGCAGAAACGTGTTTTGGTCAGCAGCAATTGGGTTGTGTGCTATCCATGGTTTCTGGCATACGGTGGGGCTTTGGGAATGTATTCCCCTTGGATAAGAGGGGACTAGTTTAAAATGATGATTTGGGCCAGATGTGGTGGCTCATGCCTGAAATCCTAGTACTTGGGAGGCTGAGACAGGCAGTTAGCTTGGGCTCAGGAGTTTGAGAGCAGCCTGGGCAACATGGTGAAACCCTGTCTCCACAAAAAATACAAAAAAATTAGCTGGGTGGGGTGGCACATGCCTGTGGTCCCAGCTACTTGGGAAGCTGAGGTGGGAGGATTGCTCGAGTCTGGGAGGCTGAGGCTGCAGTGAGCCATGATCTCACCACTGCAATCCAGCCAGGGTGACTGAGTAAGACCCCGTCTCAAAAATAAAATAAGAATGCAGATGCCCAGAGTTTAGTGTGGTAGATACAAACAAGATATCAGAAAAATATAGCTGAGTTGCAGACCACATCCACACCATCTGAACCTCCATGAGAACTCAAATTACAGGACTTTACCATTTAATCAGTCTTCTCTTTAACAACACTGCATATCTAGGGTATCTTTCTCATTATTCACCCAATTCCTACAGTGAATGTGAACTTAATCTCAGCTACATTGATATGACCTGGAACTCCATCTTTAGCCATAACAAACGTGAATCAGAAAAGTTGACCAGTGTTTGCGAGTGCTGATATCATTTTATTTTAGTCTATATGAACACTTACCTCTTTGACGCTGTGTGTTACTGCCCATATTAGAAAAACTCTTGACATCACCTGGAAAGAAGTCAGGACAACAGAAGATGGAACAATTCCTGAAAGAAATTTTAGGATGGATAAATAAATGTACTGTACTAACTTTCAATATATAATACATTTTCTAAAACATTACAATACAAATGTTTAGAGCCAAAACCATCTTGAGCAACTCAAAGGTGTCTATATTGCTTATTGCTATACAGACTAAATTTTCAATGTAGTCAGTATTAAAAAAAAGTTTTCTCCCTAAAAACAATAATATTATTAATGGTATTACCAAACAATGGGATCCAGGTACCTTTCTTAAGCCTCTCAAAACCACTGACCAAGTGCAATATTTTTTATACTTACTGTATAGATGGAGAAAAGCAAAACCACTATCTACCCTTTAAAATAAGACTTTAAAAGGACATTTTACAATATGGGTTTCAAAACAAATAGGCAACAAAGGATAAGAAATCAATCCTATTTGTGCTAATGAGCGCTGGAAGCTCGTGGACATCAGAGGTGATGCACTATTTAATACCTAAGTTAGGTATCTTTTATTATCTACTTGAATATTTTGCCAACGAGCACATCAAAATAAAAGATTATCTTTAAAACCTTCTTTAAAATCACCTTGTTCATTACATGGCACAATTATCCTCCTAATGTCCTCGAGTTATAACACTGGAATCATCTTTAATTATTTTACTTATTTATTTTTTGAGACAAAGTCTCACTCTGTCACCCAGGCTGGAGTGCAGTGGCATGATCTGGGCTCACAGCAACCTCTGTCTCCCAGGTTCAATCGATTCTTGTGCCTCAGCCTCCCGAGTAGCTGGGACTACAGGCGCGTACCACCACAGCTGGCGAATTTTTTGTATTTTTAGTAGAGATGGGATTTTACCATGTTGGCCAGGCTAGTCTTGAATTCCTGACCTCAGGTGATCTGCCCACCTCAGCCTCCCAAAGTGCTAGGATTACAGGCATGAGCCACCGCGCCCAGCCAGTATGAATGTTTTTAAGGCTCTTGAAATGTATTGCCAAATTGCTTTCCAAAAAATTTATTATTAATGATTTATACTCCCACCAGCAATATACAAAAGTGCCTGTCTTAGCACACCCTTGACAGTAAATTTAAATTTTAATAAGTAGTGAACAAAAAGCTGATCAATACTTTCTATGATGTATTGATGTCAAGATCTTTCTGGCCTTGCCTGCAGGTGCTCCTACAGTCTCTAGCCCATGAACTCGCCTACTTGGGCATGTTAATTTCCCACAAATCATGTCATTCAGACCAACTCTCAGTTTCTCTGTAGCATAGGCAATTACTTCAACAAGTCACCCAGCAAACAGCAGCTCAGGCCCTTGCCTGACAGCACAATCTCAAAACGTCTGCTCTACTGGACCAGTCAAAAGGCCAGGAGCTCTGTCTATTCTTGAATTTAAGCTAAACAACAGAAGGCCACACAGATGGGCATTATCTTAACTCTGAACAGAACTAGCATCTCAAGTTGGGCTTCTTATTATCGGGTGGATTTCATAAGGAACTGTCAAAAAATTATTAATATTACCTTATTTGCCATAGGAATAGTATACAGTATAATGTTCACCCTATCACTCAAAGCCTCTCATACAAAACCTTAGGTGGGAAATTTGTTTTAGAGCTCAATGTTAATAAATGTGTGCTCCTATCCAATAATAAGAATTATGTAACTCAGTCACCCTCTTCAACTTGATAGCCAGAAAACTTCACGCCAGAACTGAAGCATACTATAGTGTGATATTTTGTGTATGAGCTACCACAAATCCTTGCAGAATGTGGAGTACAGATAGACAAGACAGACTAGATTCTCTCCTCTTTTTGGTTAAACAGGATTTCACTCTGTTGCCCAGACCGGAGTACAGTGGTACAATCATGGCTCACTGCAGCCTGGCCTCCTAAGCTCAAGCAATTCTCCTGCCCTCAGACTCCCAAGTAAGCTGGGACTACAGGCAAGTGCCACCATGCCCATCTAATCTTTGTCTTTTTAGTAGAGACAGGGTTTCATCCATGATGCCCAGGCTGGTCTTGACCTCCTGAGCTCAACTGAGCCGCCTGCTTCAGCATCCCAAATTACTGGAATGACAGGTGTGTGCCTGGCAGTGCCTCCTTCTTTCCGGCACTTCTTGCAGTCAATCCCACTGTTTTTGCATTAGTATGCCATAATTCCTTATTTGAACACAATGGCATAGCATGTTAAAACCCAAACTAGAGATTTTTTTTGTTGTTGACTACTTAAATTGGTTGTTTACAGATGACAGAGTCTGCAGTCTTACTAGTAAACTCTCTCTAGATTAAACTTTATTCAAAAAAGATGTACCAGATACCTACTATTTGTTAATATTTGTGGAGTGCCTACTCTGTGCCAGGTACTGCTCTCTACGCTGGGGATGCAAAGGGAAGACAGTGTCCCTGGTAAGCTCACATTCCCTATGACTGATATGCTTTGGCACAGCTCTTAAAAATAAGATTTTTCCTGAAGGTGATGAGGGGTGACCAAACACTTGTAAACAGGAGGATGGCATGATTACATCTTGGTATCAAAAAGATATCTCTGTCAGCAATGTAAATCTTTGGCAAAGCAAGGTTATAATTTGAGAAATAATTATGGGAATTTATGCTAAAAGGGCAATGAACTTTTGAAGCAAAAAACAATGGCAGATAAAAGAAACGTGTGTGTGTGTGTGTGTGTGTGTGTGTGTGTGTGTATGTATGTGTTAAGCAAAAGCTGTATTAAAGTGGATCTGGCAATTGGTTGCTTGCTTCCTCAGAATGAGGGTGCTCTGAGGACTCCCTAAACCACGGAGCCCTGCAAAGCTGGAAGCACTAGAAATCTTCCCTGCCTGGTTCAGCCTTCAGATGGGGCAGGTTAGTGAAGTTGGGAGGCTGGCTTTACCGGACAAAGACTAGGTAGACAGTTGAGTACAATTATGCACCACATAATGGCATTTTGGATAATGACAGACTGCATATATGATAATGGTCCCATAAGATTATAAAGGAGCTGAAAAATTCCTGTTGCCTAGTAATGTCCATTGTTAACAATATAACGCAACTCATTACTCATGTTTCTGATGGTGCTGGTATAAACAAATCTATTGTGCTGTTAATCATATAAAAACATAACAGATCATATAAAAATATAGCACAGTACATTATATATGGTACATACTTGATAATAAACAAGTATGTAACTGGTTTATGTATTTACTATACTATTCTATCATTACTTTAGAGTGTAATCCTACTTACTTAAAATAAAAAAGTTAGGTGTAAAACAGATTCAGGTAGGTCCTTCAGGAGGTATTCTAGAAGAAGCCATTGTTGTAGGAGATGACAGCTCCATATGTGTTATTGCCCCTGAAGACCTTTCCAGTGGTACAAGATGTGGAGGTGGAAGACAGTGATACTGATGATCTGACCCTGTGTAGATGTGCGGGGTGTGTGTGTGTGTGTGTGTGTGTGTGTGTGTGTGTGTCTTACTTTTTAACAAAAAAGTTTTAAAGAGAAAAAGAAAAGAAAAGAAAAGAAAAAAAGCTTATAGAATAAGGGTGTAAAGTATTTCTGTACAGCTATACAATCGGTTTGTGTTTTAAGCTAAGAGTTTTACAAAAAGAAAAAAGTTAAAAAAATAAGCTTATAAAGTAAGGATGTTACAGTAATCTAGGGTTAAATTATTATTGCAGGAAGAAAAATATTTTTTATAAATTTAGTAGCCTACATGTACAGGGTTCAAAAAGTCTACAGCAGCGCACGGCAATGTCCTAGGCCTTCATATTCCTTCACCACTCAATGACTCATCCAAAGCAACTTCCAGTCCTGCAAGCTCCATTCATGGTAAGTGTCATTTTAAATATTGTAGACCATACTTTTACTGTGCATTTTCTATGTTTAGATATGTATGCACCATTCTGCTACAACTGCTTTACAGTCCAGCAACCTGCTGTAGAGGTTTATAGCCTAGATGCAGCAAGCTAGACCATATAGCCTAGGTGTAGTAGGTTAACACGGTAACAAGTGAAATCAGATCGCAGAATCTCCCTAACCAAATACAAAATATACTGAATCAAAAGTAATAACATTAAATCACAACAACAAAAATTGCCACAAGCAACCAAAAAGGAATAGGTATAACTTAATGCCATGTATTTTAAAACATGCTAGTCAGGAAAAGAAAGAGATTATGGCATAGTCTCTTCCCCCAAAATTAATATTGGTGAATCAACGAAATCCTGAATGTTCATTAATGAGTCAGATTTGGAGGGAAACACAAATTTCTGGCTAGAGTGTGACAGAAATGGAGGCTGAACAGCAAAGGTGAAGTGGGGGAAGTGACTAACCAGGAGCCACCTCATTCATGCTGAGCCTTCCAGACCCCACACTCAGTTGGAGACTGATACAAAATTCCCTATGGGAACCAAGGACATTTCCTGCAGAGTTGAGGAATCCTACAACAGGGCAATTAAATCTCAGAACAGAAAGCAGTGTCCACATAATTAATACATAGCTCATTCATGTTGCTTAAGAGTCAAGAAATACAAAAAGATACACAGAGAAAATCCTCTCTCCTAATCCCATCACTAGCCAGGTCCCTTTTCCAAAAGTAACCAATTATTAAGTCCTTGTCTAGCATTCAGAGATAAAGTATAAAGCAAATATGTAGGTGAATGTATAAAGACATATTTATATGCATTATTTTTTCACTTTTTTATATAAAAGAAGCATTTTATACACATTCTCCTATACCCTGCTTTTCTTCCCTTAAAATCTAACCTGAAAGTCTTCCTATATAAGTATGTAAATTTTAATTACTGAGGCTTTATAATGTTTTCATAACCATACACTCTCCTAACCTCTACCCATGTCCTCAGGGTGTAGAAAAATGTGTAAGACAGAAAAACTCAAATCCTTAAATCATAGCTCAGAGAGGAAAACAACTGAATCTTTAATACTGTTGAAATACAGGCAAGGAGAATGTGGTAATACCTCTATCAGAGCAAATAAAATTGCTAGATAGAACTGATAACATGT